TCGTAATACATAGCTATGGAAGAATATTGTCTACGTGACTATGAATTATCTAGAAGTAATTGCAAGGAATTTGATGTGAGATCATCAGAAGGGATAGATCTTAAACCCAAGTAACATAATCAGTACTAGTAGAAACTCAACTCAACGCTTGAAAAAACATCAAGTCCTTGAATTCAATGAGCCCAAGCACACCATATGTTGTGATTGCAAGCACTTAAATTTTTATTTTTATAACCATCCCAAGATAAAATGTTTGGAACCTGTAATGCTAAAAGATGAGATTGAGCTACTTAACTCTTAACAAGTTTACAATGGTGAGTTAGGATACTATAGTTACAGGGATACTCTCAGTATGCTTACTTATATGAGTGTAGGAGGTGGTATCGCTTCTTATGAGACCAAATGATTAACTCTAGAGCGCTTATGAAACAAGATATAGACACAAAACTAATCCATGTGTCAGCTTTGAATTACCTAAGGAGAATAAAATTTGTTTGTGAGACGTGTTTGGTTGATCGTATAAAATCGCTAGTTCAAACACAAGTCTACTATGCTATCTTTATTTATTTATTTATTTATTTATTTTGTTTTATTATTATTATTTTTTTTTTTGCTACTAAGAAAGTGGAAAAGAAGACACAAAAAAAGGAAAAAAAAAAAACACACACACACACACACACACAAAGCAATTTTGATGCTTATGAAAATTGTAAGTCAAGTTCCATTGTTGTATTTTTTGAGTAAATAAAAATTTTACATATATATATATATATATATAAATGTGGTTGATAGTTCAGAAGACTATACATATAACAAGTTAATTACACAAAGCAAGTTAATATATACAAAGTTGAGAATGTCAACTATGCTGGAAAATATCCTTTGCTATTTCTCTAAAATAAAGAATTTCATAAAATAATCTCATGATTTCATGATTGAATGTTAGTTGTGTTGGAGAGAGTTCGGATCCTCTCCTTGAGGGAGGTCCTTGAGTTCCTGCGGGCAACGGCTCAGATCAGCCGTTGGACATCCAACGGCTGAGATTAAAACAAAACAAAAAAAAAATTGAAATTTTGGTCGCTCTCCCGCCCAAACAAAAACACAACTCAGAGCTTATACAGAGCTTTCTCGCACAGCACTCAGCACACACCCCTTCTCCTCCGTCGAATCCATCCTCACCGGCGGCGACCCACTGTCGATACAGATTCTGTCTCCTTCGCTGTTACATTCTTCTCCTCCCCCTCACCGAGCAACTCTGCCCTCCCTTACATCGTTCGTTGATTTGAAGTCATTGACGAGATTTCACCAGAAAATAAGAATCAATCTGAAAATTGAAGATGGTTGAAGAAATAGAAATTTTCATTTTAGTTTTTTTTTTCTTCTTATTTTTATAATGATTTGTAAGTCTATGGATTTGCAGTGGCTTGGAGAAATAGAAATCTGCACTTTATCCAAGCCACTGCAAATCCATAGACTTACAAATCATTATAAAAATAAGAAGAAGAAAAAACCTAAAGTGCAGATTTCTATTTCTCCAAGCCACTGCAAATCCATAGACTTACAAATCATTATAAAAATAAGAAGAAGAAAAAACCTAAAGTGCAGATTTCTATTTCTCCAAGCCACTGCAAATCCATAGACTTACAAATCATTATAAAAATAAGAAGAAGAAAAAACCTAAAGTGCAGATTTCTATTTCTCCAAGCCACTGCAAATCCATAGACTTACAAATCATTATAAAAATAAGAAGAAGAAAAAACCTAAAGTGCAGATTTCTATTTCTCCAAGCCACTGCAAATCCATAGACTTACAAATCATTATAAAAATAAGAAGAAGAAAAAACCTAAAGTGCAGATTTCTATTTCTCCAAGCCACTGCAAATCCATAGACTTACAAATCATTATAAAAATAAGAAGAAGAAAAAACCTAAAGTGCAGATTTCTATTTCTCCAAGCCACTGCAAATCCATAGACTTACAAATCATTATAAAAATAAGAAGAAGAAAAAACCTAAAGTGCAGATTTCTATTTCTCCAAGCCACTGCAAATCCATAGACTTACAAATCATTATAAAAATAAGAAGAAGAAAAAACCTAAAGTGCAGATTTCTATTTCTCCAAGCCACTGCAAATCCATAGACTTACAAATCATTATAAAAATAAGAAGAAGAAAAAACCTAAAGTGCAGATTTCTATTTCTCCAAGCCACTGCAAATCCATAGACTTACAAATCATTATAAAAATAAGAAGAAGAAAAAACCTAAAGTGCAGATTTCTATTTCTCCAAGCCACTGCAAATCCATAGACTTACAAATCATTATAAAAATAAGAAGAAGAAAAAACCTAAAGTGCAGATTTCTATTTCTCCAAGCCACTGCAAATCCATAGACTTACAAATCATTATAAAAATAAGAAGAAGAAAAAACCTAAAGTGCAGATTTCTATTTCTCCAAGCCACTGCAAATCCATAGACTTACAAATCATTATAAAAATAAGAAGAAGAAAAAACCTAAAGTGCAGATTTCTATTTCTCCAAGCCACTGCAAATCCATAGACTTACAAATCATTATAAAAATAAGAAGAAGAAAAAACCTAAAGTGCAGATTTCTATTTCTCCAAGCCACTGCAAATCCATAGACTTACAAATCATTATAAAAATAAGAAGAAGAAAAAACCTAAAGTGCAGATTTCTATTTCTCCAAGCCACTGCAAATCCATAGACTTACAAATCATTATAAAAATAAGAAGAAGAAAAAACCTAAAGTGCAGATTTCTATTTCTCCAAGCCACTGCAAATCCATAGACTTACAAATCATTATAAAAATAAGAAGAAGAAAAAACCTAAAGTGCAGATTTCTATTTCTCCAAGCCACTGCAAATCCATAGACTTACAAATCATTATAAAAATAAGAAGAAGAAAAAACCTAAAGTGCAGATTTCTATTTCTCCAAGCCACTGCAAATCCATAGACTTACAAATCATTATAAAAATAAGAAGAAGAAAAAACCTAAAGTGCAGATTTCTATTTCTCCAAGCCACTGCAAATCCATAGACTTACAAATCATTATAAAAATAAGAAGAAGAAAAAACCTAAAGTGCAGATTTCTATTTCTCCAAGCCACTGCAAATCCATAGACTTACAAATCATTATAAAAATAAGAAGAAGAAAAAACCTAAAGTGCAGATTTCTATTTCTCCAAGCCACTGCAAATCCATAGACTTACAAATCATTATAAAAATAAGAAGAAGAAAAAACCTAAAGTGCAGATTTCTATTTCTCCAAGCCACTGCAAATCCATAGACTTACAAATCATTATAAAAATAAGAAGAAAAAAAAAACTAAAATGCAAATTTCTATTTCTTCAACCATCTTCAATTTTCAGATTGATTCTTATTTTCTGGTGAAATCTCGTCAATGACTTCAAATCAACGAACGATGTAAGGGAGGGCAGAGTTGCTCGGTGAGGGGGAGGAGAAGAATGTAGCAGCGAAGGAGACAGAATCTGTATCGACAGTGGGTCGCCGCCGGTGAGGATGGGTTCGACGGAGGAGAAGGGGTGTGTGCTGAGTGCTGTGCGAGAAAGCTCTGTATAAACTCTGAGTTGTGTTTTTGTTTGGGCGGGAGAGCGACCAAAATTTCAATTTTTTTTTTGTTTTGTTTTAATCTCAGCCGTTGGATGTCCAACGGCTGATCTGAGCCGTTGCCCGCAGGAACTCAAGGACCTCCCTCAAGGAGAGGATCCGAACTCGTGTTGGAGATACTACAAAGAAAGTAGCTTTTCCATGAAACACCGGCAGAAGGACATGGAAGGAAATAAAAAAAAAAAACAAAGAACACGAGGAGGATGGTGAGGATTATAGTCACTGGCTAGGATAATCATTCCAAAGTGTTTTTTTGGATGCATCATCGCCGGAATAAAAATGCAGAAAGTTGATTGTTGGCTGGAGGCCTGTTAGTCCGGCCTAAGATTTTTTTTATTTTTTTATTTTTAGCTTTTGGAGTTGGATATGAGACATAACTCAAATTCACAAAAAAAAAAAAAAAAAAAAAAAAAAAAAAAAAAAAAAAAATCCTTCACAGCTAATTATGACCATGTACACTAATTATAGAAATTAGTAGTTTGATCCTATGTACTACCAGACTGAAAAATGATAGGAACAAAATCATGATTTGGCAAATGCTATTAATGATAATGAATTGATCAAAAAATGCCTAGCCCCACTTGTCGGCAAATCCAAAGAATGATTCATATGGGTTAGGACTGATACATACAGGAGGGGGCTGAGCCAGGCCAAAGAGTCAAGCCCATCGGTCAAGCCTGGTCAGGCCATGTTGGTCGTAATGGATCAATTAGTATGAGTCACAGCCCAAAGGTTTCATCGCCCATGAGGTCGGGCGAACCAATGGCTTCTCTGACCTCTAGGTTGAACAGCTCAATGGCTTCGTCAACCACTATACATCAGGCAACTCAATGGATTCACCAACCACTAGATCGAACACCAGCTCATCCAACTATTGTTTTGCCTCTTCTACTCAACTAACCCCATGTCAGCTTGGGGACTCTAGGGACTGATTCATGGCAGGAGTGGCAGGAGAGGAATGCACGGAGAGATCTAGAGTGGTCCCCCACCTGCAGCCGCCTGCACAACATAGCTCATGACCATAATCCCTAGAAGTCATGCACGATGCTAATATCCCACGTGTCAGATTCCCATTGGTAGATCTTCACCTTCAAGCTCTCCACTAACTAGATCGGAGGACTTCTGAAGAGGCCACCCTGATACTAACAAAATTTGTCTCATGGAAGATCCAATATAATCCACCCAGTTTCTGATATCATCAAAGAGCATCATTCTCTAATCAACCTTCATGCATTGATGCAAATAATAAAGTTTCCTTTGCCTCGCACATCACATAGAACTCTATACCTCACAAATTGCAAAATTTTGAAGGTAACAAGTAATGACAGGTCTCATAATTTCAATTTAAACACATAAGCGGTGAGATTTAAGCACAAGCTCGGATTATATTAAAACCAAGATGAGCCTTCCCAATAGAAAGAGGGAATGAACAGAGCAAAAGAAAGATTACATAAGTTACCGAACCTACAAACATGAAAGAAAAAAGCTTGTAAATTCATACATGTGCTTGAGATTCTACAAGCCTTGTCACCTGGGAACTTTAAAAACAAGAGCAATAGCAAATCTTCACTTAATCTAAGAGATAGGGCAAGAGAAGTACTGTTTCCGAAAGCGCCAAATCATTCTACCTTCTGGGCGAAACTTCTTTCATGGGAATTCAATATATGCCGGTGAAGAATTTACTCAAAGTCATCGATCCAATCACCATATATTCTACTAATTTTATCCGGACCCTTCCACTTCTGGTGGGGTCTCTGACCTGTCCTCTGGATTACATTGGACAATCTCTGTGACGGAACTCCAATATGATAACCGTCTGAATGAGGAGCTGAAGTGACAGACGCAACTATAGTATCAGCCAGAGTTCTCGAAGGCACTGCCCCCAGCTTTACATCTGGAGGAGCGAAGGAAGAATCTCTAGTTTCTGTCTCCATAAGTTCCCCACCATAACGATGCAATTCTGAGACAAATAATAAATTTCACTATTGATTAATAAAAGTAATGACTACATCAACAAAACTTCTACCAAATTTTTTATTAAGGTATCACCAATAACAAAATTAGTATGCCATATGCTTGATTTCATGAAATCTGAGGCCAAACTCAGAAAAAGGAACATGAAAGACAAGCCAACAAGATGAAGTAAACACCACCATGAGAAGTGAGAACAATGCTTTAAAATTGTAGGGTCTATGTTGAATAGCTTGATATACATTGTTGAGTCTATTTCCTAACAACTTAACCTTTTGGGACAATTGGTGATCTAACATGGTATCAAAGCGATCTCAGGTTGGGAGAGGTATTAGATTCAAGTCTCTCTCTATTTGCATGTAGTCCTCGTTTGAATTCCTTCTTTTGTTTGCATTCATTCTTCTCTCTATGTATGTATGTTTGCATCTCTAAGTGCAAGACCAGATTACATGTCATGGATAGTATTGAATAGCTGGATATATATTACTGGGTCCATTTTCTATCAACTTAAACTACATACAAGATGGGATCGCACGTAAGGGAGAGTGTTGAATAGCTTGATATACATCATCGGCCTATTTCTTGACAACCTAAACTTTTTGGGACAATTGGTGATCTAATAGGGGCACATGCTTTAACTAGCCAAAAAATGATGAGAGATGAACAAGGAAGCATGCACTTACAGAAAAGTAAACCTATGATATGTATAACAAGATGAAGTTCTTTTGTTTTATGAAAAGTATAGCAAGGAGACAAAGCTAAATGGCATGCTAACTTATGTTCAGGTATAATAATAGCAAATAAGCAATCAAGTACTAAATTACATAAATTGGACTATCATCTTGTATTATAGAGGAGTTTTGGGCTTTTAGCCCATGGTTATAGCTTGGTAACTTTAAAAGGATTGAGCTCTCTATTAATTTTCAATGAGGTCGGTATTTGACTGATGAGGCCCATGCGTTACTTCACAAAGTGTATGCCTTGTGTTGAGAAGATTCATCCTTTACTCCTTAAGATACAATCCAAATGCTACATGAACAAGCCAGTGTGTACACTTTCTGTAACACCTTGAAACACCCATGCGTGTCAACGATTATGCCCAAAACACCTCTATACCACACACATGCTGCACATATAGACATTTAAGTGGACATGAGCATGTGAAGGCATGCATACACAGATCCACTTGGTTCATATTTAGATTCACTCGTTATAAAATCAGTATAATTTTAAGTGCAGGATGTAGTTCTATCAGTATGTATATATGCATCATACAACCTTCATACACAAAAAAAAAGGTATATGCTTCATACAACAAACGTTTCTCATGCATGTACTCATTATCAGCCACATCTAAAAAAAGCATGAATTTGTTTTCTCTATGGTGGTTTGTCTTCTATATAGAAGTGAAGGAAGGTAAATAAAATGAGTTGTCTGTCCTCAGCGTACAAATTCTCTCTTCCTTAGGCATTCACATTTTGTTTGTTATTGCTCTTCTGCACATTTAAAGCAAATAAAGATGGAGAAGTTGCTTTTTTCTTTGCATACGTGGAAGGTGAAAAATTTGCCTTCAAATAGGTATCGAATGGTTGTGGACTTTTTTCTTCGCTTTTTTGGCAGCTCTGTCTTTCATGAACTTTTTCTTAAATTTTTTTTGTCCATTTTGTATTTTACTTTTTCGGTGCTTCCCAACTAGAAACACCTAGAAATTATAAATAAACAAAAGATGGAACAAATTTGAAAAAAAAAATCCACTAAAAACAAAAAAGCCATATGAAAAAGACCAAGAAATTAGCTTTGTTTCTAGAAGCCCCTAAAAAGTTTATTTTTTTTAAGCTGACCAAATTTAAAAAATAAATAAATAAATCACTAAAAAAAAAAAAAAAACATAAATTAAAGCCAGCTTAAAAGTCGGAGCCAAACACCTACGTCAGTCGAAAGAAATCAGATCATCTGATGCCATTTGTAGTTTGGCATATTTTGGTATTCAACATCATTAACATAGAGCTAAGTCACTAAACTAAACTAAATGCGTCAAAATTGAGAATTCAAAAATAGCACAAAAGAGAAAAAAACCATTATTTCGAATATATATTCACCAAGTGATGGATCACAGAGTCTCTCCTCTCCTGAACAATTTTTTTTTTTACTTTGAATTTGAAATAGAAAGTTGTGGATGAAATCATACCTTGAGACCCATGAGCAAAATGACACTTATTTCCAAATGGGCAATACCCTGTCATCTCCCACTTGTTACAAATCCTCGTTTTCCAATTCGAAGGCTTCACATTTGAATTTGATCCACTTGCAGTCGCACTCGCACTTCCCCCATATCCCCCACCACTCCCAGGACCCAAACTTATTGCCACACTCTCTCGATCTTTCGACTGCTCATCATGAAGAAACGTGCAATTATCTCCATATGGGCAGCCCTCCTCAGTATAAAATTTCTTGCAATGTCGCCCTTTATATGACCTCTGAGTCTCCCCACTAAAACCAGATGACCCGAGTGATGGAATTTGGAACTCCTCTCTTGGCTCAGACGATACACCTCGCTCCTCCTCGTGGGCCGCCACAATCTCTTGCCAATTAGGAGGTGGTCTCCGAAGTTCTTCAATACTATGCGCAAAATTGCAGTTGGTGATATATGGGCAAGTCCCCGCTCGGAATTTGCAACACAATTTGGTTTTGAAAAACATCTTTCCAATTGCTTTCGATCGACTATCACCAGATTGGGAGTTTCTTGATTTCTTATTTGGGGGTTCACTACCAGACCTAGTTTGCAATTGCCTTCCATCGTAATCCGAATTGGAAGTAGTATCAACAGAAGCTTCCCTATTCCAAACCCTATAATCATCTTCACTTGCCCAAACCGCCTGGTCGGCAGACCCCGAACCCCAATTCTCACCCACACCATTGCTCTGTGGTCCGGTAAGTACCTGAACTACATTTCCACCAGAAAACCCGGATTCTTGGCCGTAATCCATTACCAGTACAACCCAGGAACCAAGTTTTTTTTTTTTATATAGTTTTAGGTTCACAAAGCTCAAGAAACAAAAGAAATGAAGAAAAAAACCCTAACTGTTGATAGCTCAAACAAAACTACAAAACCCATATATATTTTATGCAATTAAACTTATGACCTAACTGAAACTGTCAATTAAAGAGAATTTTCAGACCATCCAAACAACACCCACAAACCCAGATCACCCTGAATTCGATCACAAGTCAGTATAACTGCAGAATTCTAACAATTTAAGAAATGGGTATTCTATACTCCGCTAAAAAATTCAAATTCCACAGAGAAAGAGGGGGAAAATCAGTATTTTCAATCAACCACAACAACGGCAACAAGAAAAACATTAAAAAGAGTAAAAAGACTACAAACAGATCGAGAAAGTTTACCTGAAAACAAAATCTAGTTACCCATTTAGAATAGATCGATAAATATCAAACTAGATTTGAAGAAACAAGAAGCAATTAATGAGAGGAGATAAATTTCCAAAACAAAAAGGTTTACGGACTTACATAGATTATTACAAGATTTTAATTTTTGCAACATAGATTTGATAAATCTGCGAAAGGAATCAGAAACCAAATGGGAATATACCCATAACCCATTTTGCTATTTCTGTCATAAAGATTGGAAAGAAAGAGTAACTAATAATCAAGACATGAGAAAAAGATTAGAGCATAGTTCGCGTCTATTTTCAATTTGGGGCAAAAAAAAAATGGGTACAAATTTAAAATAATTACAAAATCATAAAATACAAGATTTAAATAATAGAGTAGTGTTAGGGATACTAAATTTTCTATCAAATAAATGACTAAATGACCTATATGGGTTTGGGGTCCGTAATTTTGTGGGCTCCACACCTAAGGTAAGACTTTTGTTCATTTATTTGGTAGGAAATTTAAGACCTGTTGCATTTTTTTACATTAATATAGAGGTGTTTGATAACATGATTTGGCATTTAAAATTGAATGCATTAAGTGATAATCAATTAAGTCTGTTTAATAATCATAATTAATATCATTTACAAATTTAAATGTTTCTTAAAATGTCGTTTAAAATTTAAAAAAAAATTAAAATAATATAAAACTTACTTAATTCTAACTAAATTTATAAATACTAAATATAAGTATCGATATACATTATTATAAACTCACAACCACTATCGTCACCATCATTACTACCACTGCTATCACTACTATCACCACCACTAACGCTACCGCTACTATCACTACGGCTATCACCACCACCACCATGGCATCACCTCCACTGCCACTATCGCTACTACTAACCATCATGCCATTACCACTACTACCATCGCTATTACTATCATCACTATCACCATCACTATTACTACTATCACATTTATCACAATTGTCATTGCTGTCATTAATATTACCATCATTTTACTATCACTACCATTTTTATTGCTACCACTACCATCGTTGCCACTACTACCACCACCACCATCACCATCATCATACCACTACCGCTATAACTACCACTACCATCACAATAAAAAAAATTAAAATATACAATTTAAAAATAATAAATTTTAAATTTAATCTTATACATATTAAATAATTTATTTTTAATTCAATAAAATATTTATCAAACAATATTTTAGCTTAAAAATTCAACATTCAATTTTCAATCTTCAGTTTTTAATTTTATCAAACACCATATTAATATATAAATTAATTATACTTTCGTGACATTAAAATTATTTTGTGCTGATATTATTTTTCTGCAATTCCGCTTTTTAATTTTCTTTTCTCGGAATTTGTCATTGTCTTCGGGGTAGGGAAACAACTAGAGCTCAACTAATATTAGATTGTTAAAAGCTCGGTTAGTTAAACAAATAAATTAAATTTAAATATGTTTTAAATTTTATTACAATTTTAAATCTAAATAGAACAATCAATTGCTCATTTGGCTTTGTTATTAAGCTTAAAATTATATAAAATATCAAATTATTCGAGCTTGACTTGATAAAAATTTGTTTAAAAACTACTCAAAAATTTTACAAATCAAATTTAAATAAATTTTAAAACTTGTTAAAGTTATAAAATCAAATTTAAATAATTAACTATTTGGACTTGTTTAGGTTCGTTTATAATCCTATTCGGGAAAGATATGCTGTAATCTTCCTTGTGGGAAACAAGCTGGAAGTGATGATATGTCACTACTAGATTGTGGATGGTACGCTTGTGCCCAAGTTTGGAACAGTTTTTTTTTTTTTTTTTTGACAAAAAGTTTGGAACAGTTGTAATTTGTAATTTAATTTTTGAGTTTTTTTAATCATATTTTTTTATTTTTAATCAAAAATTTTATGTCTTAGTTAATTTTAAATATACGTAATTTAGATAAACCTAAAACATAAAATATTGAGTAAATTATTCAAAAAACAATCTCAGAATTTGACCATTCTAACTAAATAGTTCTAAATTTTTAAATCGTAAATTTTGATTTCTTTTCAATTTAAATTATTAATCTATTTTGATTAAGTAAAATCAATAGAAAAATAAATATTTCAATCATGAAACTCAATGAAAATGATATTTTAGATATTTTATTTATTTATATCTACATTAAATTTAATGACTAAAATATTTTCTTCTATCAATTTTACTTAACAAAAATAGGCAAATAGTTTACATTAAAAATAAATCAAAAAATTATAGTTTAAATTGACAAAATAAAAAAATCATGATTTATTTTGTTACAAGACTAAAACCTTAAGATTATTTTTTGTCATTGTCTCTAAAATATGTTGGAAAATAATGGGTTTTCGGCAACTTTAATTCGAAATTAAAGTGGGATTCAACCACCAGTTAAGGTGGGTCTGAGTGGTTTTGTATTCTCTTAAGTAAGAAGATTTCAATACAAAAATAATGAGCTGAAACCATTGAGTTGTGAATGAGAATTTTCACATAAAGTGGGCATCAATAAAGTTAGGTTTAGATTTGGACTTAGTTTTCGTTTGGACTGCGTCTAGACTTGTAGTTGTGTGTGTGTGCTGGGTTTGGTCTTAGACTTGGATTTTGACCTAGTCTTAAGCTTTGGGTCGAGCTATGTTGGGCTTAGTTTGTACATATGTTTGAGATTGGGCTTTGATCGGGTTGTAACCCAACACCCCGTATCCATGGTGCAACCCATCTAGTTTAATTCTCAAAACTTATATATTATATACACATTATGATTTATATAATGGTTTTAGAGTTTTGAACCTTTGTAACTCTAACCTTAATGGCTAGAGTTGATGACATTTGATAACCCTATTGATGTTAGCCTTTATGGCTAAGGCTCTTCCCTACTAATATAAATAGAGGGCTAGCTTTCTCCCCCAACTTAGTAGGTTGTTTTTAGGAAGGTTTTGTAATGGAAAATGAGATGATGTTTTGAGATAAAAAGTTGGAGATGGTTTTTATATCAAAGAAAATTTTTCTTATCTTCTTTTGTTAGTCTCTTATTTGGTTCTTATTAGAGAAGTGCATCCATTGTCAAGTTCATCGAAGCTATTCAAAAGGTACTTGATGGGTCGTTGAACACACTAAAATTAAACACAAAACTATACTAAATTCTTTCAGAATAATGGCAAGTCCAAGTATCGATCCACAGGAACAATTGTGAAATTAAACTAATTTAATTGTTAAATTCCTAAATTAATTTTGATAAAAAGATTGATTGTTCATAACCTAATTTAATAACAAATAAATTAAACTAAGTAATTAAATTATCAATTATAAATAAAATTGGATTTACTGATTTGGAGAAAACCCCAGGGCAATGATTCCACCACTAGTTACGTAAATAGGGTTTCAAATTGAAAACAATTATACTATGGTTTGAACAGAATAATGCTTCGCAACTACAAGTTCAAAGTATTTAACAAGAAAATTATCACATTCAATGTACGAGCACGAACCATCTCAAGTAATACGAATCATTCACTCTAAACTAAGGTAGTAATACGACTCGTTTCTCATAGTATGGTTCGTCTCATACCTTGAATGTGAAAGAATAGAAAACTCTTGTATGGATAACATTCAACAATCACAGAAAGCCGAATATTTGAAGAAATAATGGAATATATATATGTATGAACTTCTAAAACACCATACAATTGTTCAAACTTTTACATAATTGAAAATCAAAACAAAAAAAAACCTAATTACATGCCTAGGGTTTCATCAAAAATCCTAGAAAAGACGACTAGCTACTTATGAAGGAGTGGGAAGAGGAAGAAGATGAGGAAGAAGACCCCATGGAAGTGTCATTCAAGCTTTATGGAAGGAATCACCTCTTGAAACCCTAGCCTCTCTTTTCTTGCCAAAAATTTTAGAACCCTAATTTAGCATTTTTCTTGCCTATTTATACTTCTGCTATCTTCCAAACAGGTTTAAAACATTGGGCACTTTTTCCCAGAAAAGTCAACGCACGTGTTGGAAAGTCAACGCACGTGCGGGAATCTGTTTTCGCTCCAAATTTTGTCTTTTTGCCCATTTTATGCTCCGACTATGTACAACCTGATTGACATTAAACACATATAAAGTATACAGTTTGACGAGCAAGTAAAGTTAAGAGATCCTAATTAACGGCCTCAATGTTGCACAATTCGGCCTTAATCACATCCCCCAACTTACAACTTGTTAGTCCTCAAGCAAGTAATAAAAATAAAATAAAATAAAACAAAATTTAGCTATTTCCTCTTTCGTGGGAAAACGGTTACATTTAGTATATGCAACAAGCCTTTAAACCACAAAGTTACCCCAAATGGACGAGTAAAGTCTCGTGAGGATTTCTAGAAATGATACCCACAAACATTAACATATTCATATATACCTGACAATAATTGACCACACTACTCCACCTAACAATCAACTTATGTGTCACTACAGTGTGATATTGAGACATAATGAGTCATTAAAGGCACAGTGAACAAGTATGAAGGAACCTATTAAGTCAAAACCACAATTCAGTTAATACAAAAGTAAAGTCCCTTGTACTTGTGCATGCTAGTAGACAAATCATGAGTACCCTCGGTGTAAAGTGCAATCTCCATATTAGTTAATTGTCCACTATAATAGCCCAGCGTAACTCGTAATAACACCCAAAATATACAGAAAAACTAAACTGTTGCAGCCAAGATTCTCAATTATTTATTTTTTTTAAATGACTGTGCAATGTTCTGATCCATTAGGCTTTCTAATCAACCCATGTAGCAAGTATTAGGCCAATGACTCCCAAACCAGATGGTTTTAGGGCACTAGGTGTAAAGACACCCCTACGGGCTTAATAACTCGAGTTAAAAAGGTTATGAACTCAAACAAGTCAAGTTTTTTTTTTTTTTTTTAAGAATCTTGGCTCCTCATTTATTCTTTTCTGCAACCCTAGCTACTATCAATGATGTACACTAGGGATTATAATAAAAAGATAACCGCTATGATAGTGTGTTCATGTGAATTAAGGCATACTCATGATAAGTGTACTAATACCACAAACACAAACAACTCTCCTCATGCAAACATCGCATGCAAGTATCTACCCAATAAACCCTTTCCATACAAGTGTACTATGCTCTCCAATTAACATATGCAAATATCATCACTCTACTAGCAACAAGTCACATCAAGTGAAGTAATGCAATCAAGTGAAACAGGTATAAGCATGAATTATGA